ACACGTCTATGGCAGCATCTGTTAACTGAAATATGTCAATTGGTATACCATCTATTCCTGGAGCCTTATTTTTTGCCCTTTCCTTCAAAGCAACCTGAACTTCTTCTTTCATCACCATAGGCTTTTGCTTATATGTTGTTTCATGAAATTCTTCTGTGTCTTCCAATTCTTTTCGATACAGTGACTCAGTATATTCCTTCCATCTTCTTTTAATGCTTCCTGGATCATTTAACATTCTGCCGAAAGCATCCAGAGCATTAAAATCCTAACCTCCAAGAAGCAGCTTTGTTCCACCCTCTCCAGAATAGACCTGTTTGTTCTCTTGGCAGTCCATGTTCAAGACTCTTCTCCAGCACCACAACTCAAGACATTGATCCTTCTTCTGTCATCCTTACTCATTGTCCAGCTCATCATCCTCTAGGGAAGGGTGAAGGTTAATCACACCAAGTCAGAAAGACTCTCGGTCTCATATTTCTGCATTAACAGAGAAATGCAGAGGAACAGTGAGAGGTGGCTTTGTCCTAGACCAAGTAAGACATCGGTCTTATCATTACCTTTCGCTCCAGACCCCCCACTGGATGGGGGAGCCACCCTCAGCACATGGAACCGTCCTCCAAATCCTTGGACGGCACCTGTAGGTATTAGGTTCAGGGGTATCAGTTTCCTAAAAGCATTTAAATGCAGTGGTCTCCGTAGCAATGCTCACAACACGGTCCTGGTGGATTTCCTCCCTATGTGTATGGAGTATGGAGTCTGCGGGCAGTGGCTTCATTACACACGAGGGATAGATACACATGGGAGCAAAGAAGGGGCCATCCCTGAAAGGTCAGGCCCATGTCCCCAAGGCACCCCTCATCCTCCTGGACTCCAGGGCCTTCATTTGGCACTTACTAGTCCACCTTGGCACCCACAGGGTTGCGGCTACTAGTTTGGCTTTCTTCCACACTGTCACATGCTCTGGAACGTAACGTCTTGGTAGTGTGAGAGCTTTCGCATGGGATGGAATCTCTTGGCTTGCCGCTCAGTTAGACTGAATCGCTGTCTCCTTTGAACAGGATCCGGAGGGTATGCGGACAATAACATTGGAGCCATTTCCACCACGGGGCACGGGGAGAGCATCCTGAAGGTGAACTTGGCCAGGCTGACACTCTTCCACGTAGAGCAAGGTACGTGATGCCCCCAGGTGAGTCTGAATTTGGTGGAGGAGAACGTGAAATGCAGGCTCGCTTCTCCACATGTTGCTTTCGGCTTGTTCCCTTGTCCTGTGTCTCCTTCCCACCGTGTGTTGATAGGACCTCACGTGGGAGGAGATTTTAAAATAAACCGCCATTTGTCTCTCTCATCTCCTGGGCTGGGCGGTGGAGAGACATGGAGCTTCTAGGTCTCTGCAGACAGGAGCCCTAGTGGTGTAGTGGGTAAAGTGCTCAGCTGCCAAGTGCCAGGTTGGGGATTCAAACCCACCAGCAGCTCCTTGAAAGAAAGATGGAGCCGTGTGCTCCCTCTAGGACTCGCAGCCTCGGAGACCCACTGGGCCCTTCTGCTCTGTCAGAGTGTGTCACTGGGAGTCAAAATCAATCCAGTGACAGTGGGCTTGGCTTTTTTGGTTGTTTAGAGAAGTCGACTGCCACATCGTCCTCCCACTGACCAGAAGGTTGGTTCAGACTGCAGACCTCTCGGTTAACAGCCGAGCACTTAACCATGGAGCCACTAGGATTCCTTTTTTTTTCCTTAATTTTAATGAAAGTTTACAGAGACTTTGGATTTTCATTCACTCATTGTTGCACTCTTCTCCCTGCCCAACCTACCCCCCCGGTTTGCCTTTCTCTTTGAAAAGTAAAAGAAAAAGTCTTTCATTGTTATACCATCCCTCCCCCCAAGTCCACTCCACTATAGAACAAAAGAAACAAACATAAAAAAGCCAGAGTTCACTGTAATTCATGGCATCCCTCCATGAAGCATCCAGGGTTGTAAACCTTTCTGAGAAAAGGCTGCCCGTCTACCTCCTGCAGAGCATCTGATGGTTTTGAACCACTGACCTTTTTATTAGCAGCGTAACACCTAATGTGCAATGCCACTAGAGCTCTTCTCTTTGCGGGGAGAGGAGCGCCTCTTTGCCTTAGAGTCAAAACCAACTCATAGCTGGCCCTCTAGTGGGTTTTCAGAACCTGTAAATTACTTGGGGGGGCAATTGTCCATCTTTCTCCCACCGAGTCACTGGTGGGTTTGAACCATGTGCTTTTGGGTTGACAGTGCAGTTCTTTACCCACTGGGCCACCAGGTGAGCTTATAAGGACAGGAAAATAAAAACACTCATAGAGTCAGTTCCAATTCCCGGCACCTTCTGTGTGTGAATGGAGCTGTTCTGTGGGGTTTTCATTGGCCAGCTTTGTGGAAGTTGTTTCCCAGTCCCTTCTTCCCAGGCGCTCCCCCTTGGACTCAAACCTCCAACCTTTGAGCCAGCAGCATTTTTGTGTGCACGCTCGCTGCCCATCAGAAGCCCTGGTTCGTAACTTCCTGTTTCACAACCTTTCCTTGTTTCTAGGCAAGTCATTAGAAGAGGCTGCTAACCTGTCATTGGGTTACATGAAGTCGAGGCTTAAAGGACTAGGTGGCGTCATCCTGGTGGACAAAACAGGGGACTGGGCAGTGAAGTGGACCTCCACGTCCATGCCCTGGGCAGCCGCAAAGGACGGCAAGCTGCACTCTGGAATAGACGTGGGCGAAGCCACCATCGTCGACCTGCTCTGAGCCCTCACTGGATTGGCTTCTAGATGCTAGCGCAGAGTCAAAGTCCAGTGTCCCGGTGTGGAGACGTAGTTTAATCAATTAGAAATGGAAAACTGATGTCGTCTTTCACTCATTTTGTTGCTTTGATCACTAAGTATCTGAATGATTGTATCACAATGCCTGTGTTGAGATAAAAACGAGGCCAGTGGAGAGGGTTCCTTCTGATGAGCTCTTGGGAATCAACCCTGTTACATTAGGTTAGAAGGGCTTGGCAGAGCCACCCATGGGATTGGGCCCCCCCGCTGGGCACCCTCAGTCAGACTTGTTGGAAGGACGGGCACAGGGAGGTGTCAGCCAGTAAGAGGGGAGCCTCAGAGCCCACGGGAGGAGTCCAAGGGGGCTGGGGAGCCGCGACCTTCACGCAGAAGAGCACTGGTGACAGAAGGAATGTCCCTGAAGGGCGTGTCCCTCACCTGTGTGAGGATAAAGGGATTTTTCTTTCAAAGTGTAGATCTTCTTAAACTAATTGAGACAAGTTCCCATAAGCTTGGAAAGACCCTCTGGGAGCCTAGAAGCTCCCTGGTCTGGGAACCCAGGATCCCAGTGGAGGTTGGCAGGCTCCGTGACCTTCCCTGGAGCCAGAGGGGATTCTGGGTTCACAGATGAGCGTCCTCCGTCACCTCTATCCCAGTGTTCACCCTCTGGCCAGCACCCCTTGTCAGAGGCAGCCACACAACGTGAGTGGCCCAGGCTCCAGTCTCTGGACACTGAGTAGAGGGGAGAGAGTGGACTGTGTGTACAGAGATGAGCCCGTGGCTGTCCTCGCCCACAGGTCCACTGTCCAGGACCCTGGGATTGTCCTCCCACAGACCTGGGTGGGCATCAGGCATGGTCCCCTTGGTGGGGAGACCTCAGTTCTCTCTCTATACTGGAAACCAGTCCTGCTATGGCCAGTTACTCAGTGCTTTGGTCTGTCAGGGCTGACCTCTCTCTGGAAAGAAATTGCTTTCTTTTAAACTCCCTGTGTCTCTAATAAAATGTGTTTTGAAAGAATAACTGTGGTTAGGAGTCACTGTTGACAAAGATCTGAATGAACATGGACTTTGCCTCTTCCACTCATTCCAGGCCCTGCTCTCGGTAGGCAGAAGTTCAGAGGTCAGGGTGGTGCAGACAGGACCTTGCGGCCTCCCAGATGGAGTGTTTCTAAGAACAGAGCTTTTTCTGAATGGTGTAAGAAGAAACCAAACCACCACTGGCGCTTATCAACAAGAACTTCACCCCCAGATAAACCTGCTGCTGTCAAGTCACTTCCAGCTCATGGTGACGCCTCTGCGTAGAACTGTGCTCCACAGGCCTGACAGGGACTGGATTTTCTTAGCAGAGAACTCTAGTGGCCTAGTGGTAAGAAGCTGCACTGCAATCCCAAAGGCAAACAGTTCAAATCCACCTGCCGCTCCGTGGGACAAGGATGGGCAGTCTCCTCTCATGCAATTCACTGCCTCCGAAAACCCACTGGAGGGTCAGCTGTGGGCCAATCCCAACTCGACAGCTCACCGCGACAACGTGTAAATCCCCAGGTCTTTCTATCAAGGCACTTGGACCTTTGACCTGCCGATTAACAGCCAAACCAGCGACAGCGGTGCTCTGGTGGCCTCATCCATCGGAGTTTCACAGCTAACCCCAAGGCTGTGCCTGTCTAGTGGTTCAAACTGCCAGCAGCAAGGGAAGGGGGCGTAGGTGGCCCGATGGAGGGTCAGTTATCAGCCTGATGGCCCATGATTGAGTGAGCGATGGACAACGGGGAGACTTCACCTCACTTCCTTCAGGCATGTCATCAGCTGGTCCTCGGCAAAGAACATCTTGCTTGGAAAAGTAGAGGATCAGCGAAAAAAGAGGAAGACCCTCGGTAGAATGGGCTGACGCAGTGACTGGAACAGCACAACAGACGTTAAGAGGATGTCGCAGGATCAGGCAGGGCCTCTCCCGCTGTACAACGGTCACTGTGGGTCGGAGCCAGCCTGCGGCACCTAACCACGACACCACACGGACGAAAGGAGAGCGCTGGTGCGTGACGGGGTCCGTGTTGGCCTGCCAACCGAAAGGGCAGCAGAAGACGGACAGGTTCCTCCCATAAAGATTCACAGGCTCGAGGATCCATCACAGGGATGTCTGGGGAGAACTGAGACTGTGGCACTGGTGTGGCTTTGTTGTGCAATGTGTTTTTTGGTTTTGTTTTTTTTTTTTACTTTATTATTTTGTGTGTGTGTGTGTGCCGTCAAATCAGATCTGACTGGCCCAAGAGGAGATTGTCCCTCCTTCTCCAGCAGAGTGTCTGGTGGGTTCAAACCACGCACCTCTGGGATTGCAGTGCAGCTTCTTGCCAGTAGGCCACCAGAGCTCGCCAGTGTTGTGTATGGGGTTTTTTTTTTAATTTTCTTATTTCAGTTGATCTTTATTCTCTCAAGAAGTTAGAGAAAGACAGACAATGCTGCCCTCATGCCCATATAATTATTTTTTATTTTATCTTCTTTTTTTTTAATTTCCATTCATTCATTGTTGCACTTTTCTCCCTTCCCAACCCTACCTCTAGTACACTACGCTCTTGGAAAAGTAAAATTCTTTCTTTGTTTTACAATCCCTCCCCCAGGTCCACTCCACTATGCAGCCTTCACTCTGGACTCCTATCATGACAAAAGTACCTAATAACATATCCCTCTTAAAAGTTTTCTCCCTCATCTGTTTCAGTGCAGTATACATTATTGAACCCATCTTTCTCAGTCTCCCCCCAACCCCGAGATCAGTCCTGTTTTACAACAGTGGCACCATGCAGTATTTGTCCTTTTGTGACTGAGATACTTCACTCAGCATAATGTCCTCCAGGGTCACCCATTTTGAATAATATTGCATTAGTTCCTTGTTTTTCAGTGCAGCCATTGTATAAATATACCACAGCTTCTCTATCCATTTGTTTGTTGATGGGCACTTAGGTTGTTTCCAACTCTTTGCTATTGTGAACAAAGCCGCGATAAACATGGATGTGCATATATATGTTTGGATGTCAGTTAGGGTCTCTTTGGGGTATATTCCCAGTAGTGGAATTGCTGGGTCAAATGGTATCTCTATTTGCAGCTTTTTGAGAAAGCGCCATACTGCCTTCCACAGTGGTTGCACCAGTGTTGTGTGTTTTTAATGGACAAGTAAATTGTCCTGGTGGTCCAGTCAGGAGCCCTGGTGTCCTAGTGGTAAAGATCTGTGCTGCCAGCCCAGAGGTAGGTGGTTAAAATCCACCAGCTGCTCCGTGGGAGAAAGAAAGACGGACACTCTTTCCGATGGGATTTACAGCCTCCGGAAACCTTCTCTAGTGTTAGCTAAGAGTCCGTCCTGACTTGACAGCAGTAACCACCACCAGCCCCCTAGGAGAGGTCCTCTCTTTAGCCCCATAGGTGACCTGTGAACAAATGAACAAGGGTCTTTTATTGTCTCTTCACCACTAGAGGGCAGCAAATGATCAACGACTCCAGCAAGCCCAGGGAGGAATTTTTCACAACTCCCTGTTATCACAATCTGTTCCAAAATCGTGGGGCTATAGAAAGGGTCCTGTTCCTAACCTCCATTCTCATCCAAGCACTACAATTTGTTTAGACCCGAATCGCCCAACCGCAAACATTCACAACTGTCCCACTAAACTCTCAGAAACTCATTGACACAGACCACCCCTTGGCTTTTCTAACCCTTGACCTTCAAATTTGAAAGATTCACTTTCCCTTCTCAACAAAGATTGTCACCACACTGGGCCAACTGGCATCATCATGATAGATGGTGAAGAGATTGAGATTGTTCACAGCTTGCCTCCACAATCATCACTCTTGGTACCAGCAGCCAGGAAATTAAAAGACAAATTGCACTGGGAAAGTTTGCTGTCAGAGACCTCTCCAAAGTACTGAAGACCAACGATGTCAGTCTAGAGACTAAGGTGCGCATGATCCAGACCATAGTCTTTGCAATTACTTGTTATGCATCAGAAATCTGGCCAATGACTAGGGATGATAGGAGAATTTATGCCTTTCAACTGTGGTGCTGGAGAAGAGTATTGAATATACCATGGACTGCTAGAACAAATAGGTTTGTCCTAGAAAGGGTGAGACTAGGCTGCTCCTTGGAGGCAAGGACTCTGAAGCTTCACTTGACATACTTTGGACATGTTGCAAGGAGGGACCAGTCCTTGGAGAGGGATATCATGCTTGGGAGGGTGAAAGGACAGCGCAGGAGAGGAAGACCTTCGATGAGATGTATTGATTCAGTGACTGGGGTAATCAGAGACCGTAAGGTTGGCACAGGATAGGACAGAGTTTAGGGCTGTTGTACTTAAGGTCACTATGAATTGCAGGCAACTCAACGGCACATAACAACACTTACCAATTGTAAAAGGCATGTAGGCAGCATGGGGACAGCTGAGATTGATCCCAGTCTCCAGCACCAGCATCCACAATACAAAACCAATTCCCATGAGTTCAGACATGAGTCTTCCCACTCCCACACCTACTTCTGCTAATTCCTGCCCCACGACTGGGCTCAAAATCTGTTGCAACAGCTACACAGATTTCACAGTGATAGGAGTCATCAACTCATGAATCGGAACCAACTCATAACTCAGCCTCCAAATGGGTTTTCCAGGCTGTAAATAACTTCGAAATGGGTTTTCTAGGCTGTAAATCTACCAGAAATAGATTATCCATCTTTCTCTCTCTGAAGATAGTGAATTCAAAATGCCAGAGAGGCATGACCTTTGGGTTAGCAGCAGAAGTCCCTACCAACAAGACCACCTAATACTCCACAAAACCCACCAAAATCAACCATATCTTTTTGGCTTTAAATCTCTTTGAAGCTCACTCTGCACCCAGCCTGCTGCTAGATGCTGGGGACCCCAAGGAGCCACTGCTCCTTCCTGCCACTAAGACAAGTTGTCATTTGGACAGTATTTGCCAAAAGGATTGGATCATAAATTGCACGGCGAGAGGCCT